GAAAGAAAAGGAGAAAGAAAGAAAGAAAAAGAAAGAAAGAAAGAAAGAAAGAAAGAAAGAAAGAAAGAAAGAAAGAAAGAAGAAAGAAAGAAAGAAAGAAAGAAAGAAAGAAAGAAAGAAAAAAAGAAAGAAAGAAAAAGAAAGAAAGAAAGAAAAAAGAAAGAAAGAAAGAAAGAAAGAAAGAAAGAAAGAAAGAAAGAAAGAAAGAAAAAGAAAGAAAGAAAGAAAGAAAGAAAGAAAGAAAAGAAAGAAAGAAAGAAAGAAAGAAAGAAAGAAAAGAAAGAAAGAAAGAAAGAAAGAAAAGAAAGAAAAAAGAAAGAAAGAAAGAAAGAAGAAAGAAAGAAAGAAAGAAAGAAAGAAAGAAAGAAAGAAAAGAAAAGAAAAAAGAAAGAAAAGAAAGAAAGAAAAAGAAAGAAGAAAGAAAGAAAGAAAGAAAGAAAGAAAGAAAGAAAGAAAGAAAGAAAGAAAGAAAGAAAGAAAGAAAGAAAGAAAGAAAGAAAGAAAGAAAGAAAGAAAGAAAGAAAGAAAGAAAGAAAGAAAGAAAGAAAGAAAGAAAGAAAGAAAGAAAGAAAGAAAGAAAGAAAGAAAGAAAGAAAGAAAGAAAGAAAGAAAGAAAGAAAGAAAGAAAGAAAGGGAGAAAGGGAGAAGAAGAAGAAGACGAGGAGGAGGTGGAGGAGGAGGACGAAGACGACGACGAGGAAGATTCAGAAAAATTGTCTAAACCCACTGTTCTAATAAACACACAAGCCACTGCCCCTCACAACGTATTGACGACATCAACAAATAAAATCATAATTAGTGATCTTAAAAAAATGGCACACACAATCGCAACGGAAGAAATATGGGTCTCCTGTCCTTTGTCACCATGTCCTGGTAAAGCTAATTATATTTTGATGTTTTTTTCCCCCTCCTTTATTTATTTCGTTCCCATCTGTAACACGTCAGCGCTATGAACCCAATCAATCAGGTTGTTGTTTTTATAGTTTTTCATTTACAAGACGCAGCTGAGTACACAACACACCTCATACTCTTTGTTTCTTTCGTTTCTTTTCGTTTATTTATTTTCGCTCGGCTTTTCTGCTTTTTGTCTTTATTGTATATGGATTTTCCGAGGTGAGTTCCGGTGCTACATTTTAGAGGAAGGGGGAGAAAGATAAAGACGACTGACTTCATTGTGCCGAGTTTTATATAACATGGCTCGGTCCCTCTCGGTATAACGGCTATCCATCTGCACAGAGCATCTCACAGAGCACAAACTCCACAACTCAGGTGACATTTCCAGGGAATTCTGTAGAAGATTGCATACGTAAACCAAACAACTCAGCCGTGAAACGAACCCACGACCTTCAGACAGACAGACAGACAGACAGACAGACAGACAGACAGACAGACAGACAGACAGACAGACAGACAGACAGACAGACAGACAGACAGACAGACAGACAGACAGACAGACAGACAGACAGACAGACAGACAGACAGACAGACAGACAGACAGACAGACAGACAGAGAGAGAGACAGAGAGAGAGAGAGAGAGAGAGAGAGAGATAGATAGATAGATAGATAGATAGATAGATAGATAGATAGATAGATAGATAGATAGATAGATAGATAGATAGATAGATAGATAGATAGATAGATAGATAGATAGATAGATAGATAGATAGATAGATAGATAGATAGATAGATAGATAGATAGATAGATAGATAGATAGATAGATAGAGAGAGAGAGAGAGAGATAAAGAGAGAGAGAGAGAGAGAGAGAGAGAGAGAGAGAGAGAGAGAGAGAGAAGAGGGAGATACCATCTGCTCTAGATGTCGTTAAAGGTGATAGAATAGAGTGTTTGCTGAAGTAGTGTGTGTTGGGTCAAAATTTGCTGATACCGAAGAAACCATTAAACAAGAAGAAGAAGGGGCATGTGTGACATCGTATTGTAGTTTACAGCTAGACTGCGATATTTGCACCTTTCGGTCCAACACATCCGATAGCATTTTCTCATTGTATCTACAAGAGAAAGAGAGGCTTGCCGCAACCAGTGCACTGTATGTTTTAACACCGAACATTCTTGTAGACAAAGAACGTGAATAAACTCTACTTAAACGAGTGTTTGCATTGTAGATTCTACACAGATGGGCCGATCTGGTAATATCTAAGGAAGATACGGGCGATGAAACGTTTGCTAACTCCACCCTCCGCGATATCGCTCTGTTCATCTTTGAACCCTATGGTTCATTCCGTGCACACTTGAACTCAAGATTCAAGTTGAAGTTTAAAGTCGAGAGGATAGTCTTCATTGCACTGGGTTTTATCCCAATATGGCTCGGTGTCTCTCTGCAGAACGGCTAGCAGCCTGCCGAGAGCACCTCGCAGAGCACGAACTCCGTAGCTCCGGCGACGATCCCCAGGGACATCTGTAAAAATTGTACTCATCAACTAAAGGGCGCAGCTGTGGAGTAAAGCCATGGGCACTCAAACCGTCCCATCCTCACATTGGGCTGTATGTCGCTTCGAACTGTGGGGGAGGGGGGGGGCGTCGGGAGAGAGGGCGGGGCGGGGGGTACCTAAAAAAACCTTGCTATAGAGTCGATTCGGCGTCTGTAGCTCAGAGGTTGCGAACCCGCGTCGTAATTCCTGGGTTCCGGTTTCGATCCCAGCTGCGGACGATTTGTCTTGCGTTGATTTTGATAGTGGTACGGAGAGCTGAACGTTCAGTAAGCAATGGCAAACTACTGAACATGAAATTGGCCTAGAAAACCCATAACAGCCAAAAAATGCTAGGGTTCGGTTCTGTAACGTCCTGTAAAGTCACGCAACTAATGTTTTTTTAATAAGGTTTTTAATAAGGTTGAACGGGATTTGTGGGATTTCCCCCCTGTTTAATTCTCATCTTTGAGGTGTTAATTTTACAAATAGAAATTGTGGATTAGGAACAAATACCCAGCTACTTACGGTGTACACACTTTATCAAAGATGGAACTAACTTTCCTCCCATGATTTCTTGTACCCCATATTTTGTGTGGTGTTTATATATATGTATATGTATATATATATATATATATATATATATATATATATATATATATATATATATATATATATATATATATATATATATATATATATACATTAGGGCTGTACCGAATATTCGCTTCGTATTCGCCTAATAGTGGACCTAATAACTATTCGGTATTCGGCCGAATAGTTGCGGTCGGACCGAATACGAATAGTGGTTACCTTACTCACGCTTCTGCATACACTGTGATGGACTGAAATAACTCTCTCATTAACACAATAGTTGCTGTTGCCCAAGTCATTCGTAGCGGGGGAAACTGCCACCCAGTTGCGTGGTACAAACTGCATAAAATTCCAACCGCAGTGTGTGTGCGTGTGTGTGTGTGTGTGTGAGTGTGTGTCTATGTGTGTGAGAGAGAGGGGGGGGGGGAGAGAGAGGTCATGCATTTTTCGTTCTTTCAGGATGTCTTCGCCCAAATCAAATTTGAAAATATTGCTAACGAGAATATGAAGGTGCGTTTAAATTACATCGAACGAATGGCCGAGCCAACGACGGTTTTGAAAGAGGCGGGAGCCCGAAGACAACTAATCACAGACATCAGAAGGAAACAGTCGTCATTTTTCAGCCGTGTTATGAGAAGAGGGAAAATGGAACATTTGGTGACCACTGGAAAGATCTGTGGAAGGAGGAATAGAGGAAGAAAACGATAGAAGATTCTTGACAGTCTTGTTGCATGGCATGGAGATGTGTCAGCACACGAACTGATACATGCTGCAGGAGATAGCAGATTGTGGAGAGGCGTGATCGCTCACGCCAGTCGGCAAGGCACCTGATGATGATGATACACTATTCGTAATAGTATTCGTATTCGGCCGAATAGTTAGTCCCACTGTTCGTATTCGGCCGAATAGTGAAAATCACTATTCGGTACAGCCCTGATATATATATATGGGTGTATATACATGTCATTATAGCTGTCATTTCTAGGAAACTGCTCTTTTCAACAAGACTTCTGTGTCCTTCTGCTAGCTAATGCCACAGACATTAAATGTTAACATTAACTGGAGTGATTCCGATTAGGTAAAAATTTTTAAAATGAGTTTGACAAAACCAATTTTTCAATATTGTCTCACATTGAACTTGGCGTTTGCGTGTTGGACCTTTAGATGCGATTAGTGTATACAGCAGCCGTGAAGACGAATAAAAAGTAGAAGACGGAAAATAACTGTCCCAGACGAAAACGGGTAATTAAATCTTATATATATATATATATATATATATATATATATATATATATAATATATATATATATATATATATATATATATATATATATATATAAGATCGCTGACTGAATCCAGCAATAAATCAATTAACTGCCATTATTCCCTCTTCTTTTTACATGATTGTGTGTGTGTCTGTGGGTGGGCCGGGTTGGGGGGGGGGGGAGAGGGGGAGTTTTTAGAAAGAGTATGCAACGATAACAGGAAATGGTCATTCCACCTTTTATGTTGTCACTGAGAATATGTATATCCTATTACTTCTCATTCTGGCTGCAACAACTGCTATTCGACTGACTCTGTTTTACCTCTACAATCATTATCCTTGGCCTTACTATATCTACCATTGCTTTTGCAGAATGGGTGGTGCCTTATGTGATTAAAATTGATCGCGTGTGCAACTGCTAAGCTGTTTGTAACGACTGCTTCCATCGATGATGAACTACATTTCTATTGTCAGACTATTTGTGTATGCTAGTGGATATACTGAGACTGCAATCTGTGTCAATTTATCCACAAGGGACAGTGATGGACATTCTTCGTGTTTTTCGTTGACACAGGAGCGGAGTAACATTGAGGGACCTGTTTAGTATGAAGCTGAAGCTAAGATTATAGAGATTTACAATCACTGCAGTCACATTTAAACCTCAACCTTTATCTTTACAATTTCTATCATTACCTTTGAAATGTCTACCCTGTTTCAGATACCTCACCGCGACAATGACCGGAAGAAAGCTGAGGAGAAAGAAATACAGAACGCCAATCGCTCCTCCGCATCTCCTGCATCGACCTCACCCTCGCTGAGAGCTGACAACTTCAACTGCAGTCAGAGCACAATGGACCAGGTGAGTTGTCTTCTCTTCCTTCTCCCTACGAAAGTTGTCTGGTCCTTTTCCTTCTCCCTACGAAAGTTGTCTGGTCCTTTTCCTTCTCCCTACGAAAGTTGTCTGGTCCTTTTCCTTCTCCCTACGAAAGTTGTCTGGTCCTTTTCCTTCTCCCTACGAAAGTTGTCTGGTCCTTTTCCTTCTCCCTACGAAAGTTGTCTGGTCCTTTTCCTTCTCCCTACGAAAGTTGTCTGGTCCTTTTCCTTCTCCCTACGAAAGTTGTCTGGTCCTTTTCCTTCTTCCTACGAAAGTTGTCTGGTCCTTTTCCTTCTTCCTACGAAAGTTGTCTGGTCCTTTTCCTTCTTCCTACGAAAGTTGTCTGGTCAACATCCGCCCGTGCTGCTGCCAACTGCCAAAGTATGTCCGATAAATGTTTATCTGATGAACCAACCGTCCATCTGATACTCTGGTCATTCAAGAGGTGCTTGATTTGCTATTGCGGCGACGATGTATCACCATAACCTCAGTATACGGTCCTATTCACGTTTCCTGGCCCATCTTCACACTAACTGACCTTTAACTGTTACTTTCTCAGGCTGTTCTGCAGCAGTGGGGTGTCACGTTGTCTTCCCTCCAATTAAATCAGCGCCGATGTCGCGTGTTCTATACTACACGACGACACAGCTTTTAACGACCCCAGAACATGTAGAACAAGCCCTTGCCCAAAGGCACCCCCACCCCCACCCATAAACAGCCTGAGCCTAGGTCCCACGAGAGACTCTTTTCGAAGAAAACAGTACAACGTTATATCCCTCTAATCCAGACCAGACTGATGTGTAGATGGGCCGGGGAACGCGTATAGGACCCTCAGTACCTGTTGCAATCAATATAACATCTTGTCCCATTGTCCGATAAGTCCAAGGCCTTGAAGTCATGACCAACGTCACCTCTCCCCCCCCCTTCCCCCCCCCCCCCCCCCCCCCCCCCCGAGATTGTCTAGGAAGTTAATAAGCGGGCCGGACCAACTGTTGAAGGAGGACCACCTACTGTGGATCTTTAGACTCTTGTGCATGCTACCGCTATGAAGTCGGTGGTGTCTTTTTCCATACATCTTGGTTTCCATTTGAATGAAAACAGCCCAAACTAAGGGATCTAGTTGCTGCGTGAAGAGAACATGTCTGAATCTCGTGTTCAGTATTCTGTGGTGCTTGTCCAAATGGGCAAAATTCTGAACCCGCGGTTATGAAATTCTTGTACATATGGCTTCATATGTGGAAACGAGGCAAGACCGTCTCCATCTGACGTGTCATGTTGCTGACGTCACCATCGTGAGCCCGGTTTGGTGACGTCAGCAGCATGGCCTGTCAGATTTAGACGGACTAGGTGCCTGATAGTGGCTTTTTTATGCTCATTTTTTTCAGTCATGTGTCTTTCTACACGATGTCACTGGTAGTTACACTACTAGTAGTGAAAAAGTTCTACTACTTCTTCAGCGTTTGTCTTTAGAAGAACGGCTGACTTGTTTTGTGGTTTACAGCTAGGCTGCGATATCTGCACATTGCTGCTCAACAAAGCCGATTGAAGCAAATCCCTAATTAGTAATATTTTACGACATGCTTGTCGGAAAGTGGGGTGAATGGTGGGAAGAAAAGGGAGCTTTCCATGAGTCCGGTTTTTTCCTTTTTTTTTTCTAACTGGCTCTGCTGTACACACGCTGTGATGATGTGTTTGACTAACATAATGTGGCCAAAGGGTTAACGTTTGTTTGCCTCACTTCTGAAGATTGTGGGTTCGATTCACGGTTTGTGTCTTTCGGTTCAGTTCACGTGTGCATTTCTTACATAGATCCGCGGAGATCGTCGCTGGCGCTACGAATTAATGACGCTAGCCGTTTTAGAAAGAGAGAGAGAGAGAGAGAGAGAGAGAGAGAGAGAGAGAGAGAGAGAGAGAGAGAGAGAGAGAGAGCGCGCGACTTATATGGGATAATGGAATGCATCCCAAGTCAACATAGGTATCGGCATAGGCGCCCTAACCTGGAGGACTCAGGTACCTTGAGACCCCGTCTCTCCCCCATCTCATGCACCCCTCCCCTGCATATTTTTTATCGGGGCTAAGAGGCTTCTTATAATATGAATCGATATGGCCTTTAAGTGAATTTATTTTTACCTGTCATATGATTATTTATTATTATGATTATAGTAAAAACACTGTACTGATCGGCAAATAATATAACAATATACTTCAAACAATATGCAATTTAAAAATGAAAAGCAGAAGACGAGATCAGTCCTTACATGGTTACAGGGGGAGTCTTAGCCTTCTTGTTATTTTATTAGATAGGTGGGGTGGGTGGTGGAGAGGGTGTACCTATAATGTTTTAATGGGGAAGGGAGTTTCAGCACCTAAAGACCTAAGACCCACCACCCTCCCAACCGGCTATTTGCCGATAACATTTGTGAGATGATGATGCCGAGGCGACCCCCCGCCCCCCTCCCTTTCTACCCCCACCCCCGCACCTGTATTGTTCTGAATTTAGGAGGCCCAAAACTCTCCCCCCTTCCCATTTTCCTCCTTAAAATGTGTAGGGCGTTGTTAGCGGGATGACTATGGCACCACCCCTCCCCCCATCCACAAACACACCCAATGCGGTGCTCCTGAAAGTCTATGCTGTCGCCTTAAGACTTTAAATTGAAAAAAAAAAAAAAACTTATTATGCTTGTTTGGATGGCTTTCCCCTTGTGGGTTCCATGACTCTTTTGTAGGGAAAACAAGAATATACCCACTGCTTCCCATGTAGTGAGAGTCGACTAATTGAGAGTTTTCTTCAAAGTCAGAGTGCATCTGCCTGATAGCAAGAAACCAACAGCTGCATGCAAATGAGTGATATTTGTAAAACGGGTGCACAGACAACACTCAGGCTCAGGCAAAAGACTAAAAGTCCAGGAGTGGACGAACTATCAGAACTGTCCGCCGGAGTTTAAAGGCCGTGAACTCGAAGAAGAAGCAGAAGTAGTTTAAAGTGCTTGAACGTAACGATGCAAAACAACTTCTGTGTTCTCCTTAAAAGAGCAGTTGATATTGTGTTTCGGTTTACAGCCAGGGTGCGATATCTGCTCCTTTCATCATGACAACCGATTTCAACAAAACTCTTAACTGGTCCATTTACGGCAGTGGTTGTCAATCTAAATTCTGCTACCCTTTAATACAGTTCCTTATGTTGTGGCGACCCTTTAATACAGTTCCTTATGTTGTGGCGACCCATTAATACAGTTCCTCATGTTGTAGCGACCCTTTAATACAGTTCCTCATGTTGTAGCGACCCTATAATACAGTTTCTCATATTGTAGCGACCCTTCAATACAGTTCCTCATGTTGTGGCGACCCTTCAATACAGTTCCTCATGTTGTGGCGACCCTTCAATACAGTTCCTCATGTTGTGGCGACCCTTTGATACAATTCCTCATGTTGTGGCGTCCCTTTAATTCAGTCCCTCGTGTTGTGGCTACCCTTTAATACAGTTCCTCGTGTTGTGGCGACCCTTTAATACAGTCCCTCGTGTTGTGGCGACTCTTTAATACAGTCCCTCGTGTTGTGCCGACCCTTTAATACAGTCCCTCGTGTTGTGGCGACTCTTCAGTACAGTTCCTCGTGTTGTGGCGACCCTTTAATACAGTACTTCGTGTTCTGGCGACTCCTTTATACAGTTCTTCAGATTGTGGCGAATTATTTTAGTTGATACTTCGTAATTTTAATTAATATTTGATTTGCGATGGTCTTTGGGACCCCTGTTAAAGGGTCGTTACTACCCAAAGAAGGGTTGCGACGCATAGGTTGAGAACCTCTGATTTACCGTTAGAAGGCAGTGGGCCTTTTATTTTTTCCCCCACAACGGAAACCTGGAATCCACTCGGAAAAAAAGGGGAAAGCTGAAGAGATAACAGGCAAATGATGACAAGGGCGGAGATGAAACACGGTAATTTATTGTTAGAACGAAATCAAGTAAAAGAAACGCGGGTGTTATTTATATTGACACCGGAATCTCGTTACTAAGGACTACAAGGCACTGATAAACACATTTGCTGTGAAGACCCCAATTCCAAGTGTAGCCAAACTGCTGGTATTTCGTTGAGACAACTTTTAAGCAAACCCAACAAGCGAGGGTTTGCCAAATAAGAGGCGGAAGGATCACAAACCATTTATTGAAGTTGGCGAGGCGAGGCGAAAATGATAGCGGAAGACGAAGAGTAAGGAAATACACAAGAAAGTTATTGTTGATGGCCTGTCGATGTGGGAGATCTTAGAAGCATGGTTTCCTCAGGTGTGTTTAATAACCAAATGGGGTTTTGGTCGTAGATGCGACATCAGACCCCGTGAGTGGATGTGATTTTTAACTAGACGGTAATGTAAAGGTAAAGTAAAGGTAAAGTAAAGTTAAAGAAAGGGAACTTTTCCACGTCTTTAGGTGTATTGGGCGTATAGAGGTTAGTTGCGTATCCTTTACAGGACGTTAGGGGCTGTTTTGTGGTTTTTGTAGGCAAATTTACTTCCTGTAATTTGCCATTGCTCCTGGACGGTCGGCTTTCTTGATACCACTGTCAAAACCAACGCAAGGCGCATGGCCCGCAGCTGGGATCGAACCCGGCATTCTGGCATTACGAAGCGTTCGCATCGACTTAGCCACAGAGGCGACGGGTGTATAGAGCTAGAGCTATATTTTTCAACAACGGCACTAGGTGGATGATGTGGTCAGCATCGCGCCGGCCGCCTTTACTTTCCAGGACTGCAACTGGTACCCACTCAAGGGGTCGATCTGGGAGTCAGGGTCATTTTTGAAAAAAACGTCTAGTCGCCGTCAGGAACCGAACCCACGACCTTCCAATCCTCAGGCGGGGTCTAGCCGCCAACGCCACGGCGACTCCCTTTAACTGGACGGTACTGAGCTAAAATGCTGGAGAAAAATTATCAGAATGCCATTGACAAGGAAGAGGAGAAATACTGAGATTTCAAAAGATCTGAACATT